TGTCTACAAAAAAAAACATTTACTTCAGTTATGAGTGTTTGGCAGCACTGTACCCAAAGTCATACATTTGATTTTAGTTGTGTCAGCCATGGGGTTGGTGTGCCTTTTGGTAATCTTGTTGTTATTTTACTGTCAAATCATCAAACTTCAAATGTCTTTTCATAATATCAATTTTCAAATTTTAAATATTTCCTCTTTCCTCTCTCTTTTTGGTCGCGACCACGCCACTGAGTAAGTGACAAGCATGGCCAGTGAAATAATTTTAAATGTTTAAATATAAATATTATATAGATGAGTGGGAAAGTAGGGATTCAAACAAATAACAGAGTGATGATTGAAAATACTTCTGAATACTACTTATTCACATATATACAAAAACGATCGCTTCAAAAACACTTCACTAACTTTCTTCGAAAGCTTCTGATGATTCATCTTCCATATTCTCTGTTTCACTATCACTGTCGTCATTTAAATCAATAATGAATTTATTTCCACCATCAATATGGAAGTGTCCAATCTCCATATAGTCTTTTTCAACTAAAATTACTTTTGTAATCCTTTTCTGCCAGTCTTCTTCGTTAATATTAGATACTTCTTCTTTAACTAGCTTCATTAACGTCTTATCAAATTTTGGAAAATTATTTTTACGCCTGATGCTTTGTTTTAATTTTCCCAAAATCAACTCGATGGGATTGAAAGCACAAAAATTAAGGGGAAGTCTCAGTATGGTGTATCCATACTTTTCAGCAATAGTCTCAAGGGCATACACTTTTTCAAATGTTTTGTCTGTAAAACTTCGAGTAGTTGGTTTTTGGTATAGTTATCTTCAAAATACAAATTGTTATTCATTAAAAAACTTTGTATTTCATCTTTCTTCGAATTTTTATTCGTTACTTTGATAAGCTGTCGCGAATGATAGGAAACGTTGTCAAGAACTATTACACTATTCGCATCCAAATTTGGTATCAATGTGTTTTCAAATCATTCTTGAAAAAATATTAGCTTCCATGTTCTTATGATAGTCAATATTGCAGTCCTCAAATTTTTCTCCACATAATTTCAAAGGATTCGGAACCCATCCTTTACTTCCTCCGCAACCCACAATGATTAGTCGCGATCCTTTGTTTGCAGGCGTGTTAGGCGTACACATTCTCGAACCATCAGTCCACCCTTTCGTAACTGTGTCGTGAGTGGCATACTAAGTTTCATTCAAATAGAAAATTTGCCGTTGTTCTTGTCTATATTTAGTTATTGGTTCTAAGTATTTGTTACGCCATTCCACTATTCTTCTGCCTTCCATAACTGCTTGACGTTTGTTTATTATTTCAAATCTAAATCCTAGTTTCTTTATCCAATTCTGAAGAGTTTTGTCACAGCAGCTCACGTTATGGCCGGAAGTATTCAATTTCTTCCTTATGATTTCATTTGTAGGAATCTCATTGCTTTTGTAACAGTCGTATATTGTTTTTTTCAATGATTTTATTGTATGAAAATTTGAAGGTTTTGGTAATTCCATATCACATCGCGTCTTGCGTTCATAAGGTTTGCTTTCGACTATTTTACGTACAGTTGAGAAAGGAATTTTGGTCAAATCTGCTGTTGCTTCCCTCGAAACCAAACTTGAGATGTAGATTTTTATATACATTGAAACATACTCTCTGTGTTTCAGTATTCAAATGCATCCGAATCTTATTCACTGGTATCTATTTTTCACATTGTTCACCATCGTTATTGGAATCACTACACAGGAAAAAGTCTGCGTTGTTATCACACTCCTTATTACTATTAGTACTTGTCCAAGGACGCCCCATTTTAAACAGATAACAAAAATTTTAAGTAATCATAACTGCACCAATATTGAATTTCAACACTCAAATCGCGATCAGTTTCAGATGTGAACATTGACGACACAACGGCGATACTCGTCCCCACATTCCATTCGTCACCGTAACATGACTTAAAATTCAATTTTATGACTCTTCAGCCAATCATAAAACTAGGTTAGTAAAAAATATCCAATAGGAATCGGCAATTCTTCAGTCTACATGGACTAGTTGGCAGCGGCATTATTTCTCTGTATTGTTTTTTTTTGCCATTGAGATGCCTATAGCTTCAACTATTCACAATACAGGTTACTTCGACTATACACCGTTATTACATTACATATGCATGTTCCCAGACCAGGTCTTTAGCCGATCCAGCCTGCTTTCTTAGCATTGTGTCATATGCGCACTTATTTTTACACCTTGTTTTCTCATTTATATCATACAATAATTGTTATTCTGTAAGTAAGAGGCTTACCGTGGATACAAAATAGGTAATCTTGCGTGGAAAAATTTTTGAGTATGTTACAGAATAACCTATATAAAACAATTGATTTTTTTTTTATTTAGTGCATTTAAAAGATGAAAGATTGTCTTTAAACACGTTTTTTTTCATTAATTGTTCAATCTGATACGAATATCAAACTTGTAGGAAAACAGTGGCATATAATGATTTTTACCATGTATATCAATTAGGTAACACTTTGTTACGCCACTGGAATTATTATGCAAATATGTTACTGCTAACAAACATATCTAGTTTCATTAAAATCGACGGAAAGTCTTTTGAATTATTCATAGAACAACAATATTTTTAGTGAAATTTCAACACCCTGAACTTTTTTCATAAATATTACAAGTAATCACTATATGAAATCAATGACATCATTTAAGAAACATTGTAAAAAAATAAAAATTGTTGTTGTCATCGCGACGAAACGGCTATTTTTCTGCAAAGTTCTCTTGTATATGCTTTCATCAGAAACATTCTCCTCTGATATTTGCTTTACTGTTATATTTCATTGTATAACCACATCTATTTCATACAAAAAAGTCGCAGAAATACAAAGAAGGAATCACATATTTTATAAAAATCATTTCACTAAGTGTTGGTAAGCCTAAAGGGCAGTAACGACTACTGGTTCAACTGAAATTCTAATGGGTTCCGTTTAAACTCTATGAACTTTGCAACTGACTCGAAAGCTTATATATTAGACTAAATGGTTATAGCAGTGAATCGACAAAATCATTATTAAACCTTTCTACTAAAATCATAAACCGAAAACATTCAGGGTGGTGAATAATTTTTGTGTGGAGATATCTTTATATTCCCGAAAAACAACATAACAATTCAAACCTAGTTATGTCATAATCAGGAACTCCATACACACAAAATCCATTAAATTCATTAGATATCATCAGACAAAATAATTCTTTCCGAAAACAACAGCCAATCCGTTTTGAACAAAATTAATGGTCGGGTTGAAATGCGTTTGTTACAATTACGAAATCAAAGTAAATCGGGGAGAAGAAGACCACATTAAAGAGAGAGCTGCAAATGAGTTTTACTGTGGGGTAAAACAAAGGCAATTGTGAATTGAAACTAGATTGGAATTCATTAACGAAGAAGTACATGAAGAACATTTGAATAATTACATTAATTAAAAAAATATAACTCATGATTATGCACTGTTGCATGTACCTCATTTATGGAATATTGTTGGTATTTTGATTTTTTTGAAACACCAATCCCTTCGTCGGTTGGAAGTCAATTCTTCGATCAGTTAAAAATTCTAGAAATCCGATTTGATCAAACTGGTGAATTTTTCAAGTTTATGAACTGACCTTGAGTCAAGAAATCATACACAGGGTGATTGAGTCAGCACCAATGCCAATTCTGTTATTATTGATGCTACAAATTTGGTTAAATGGGCAAACTAGTAGCAATTTCAATGGCTTTCTCGATGCCCAAAAAATCATACAAATCGATTTGTAAAAACATTCTCAACAACAAAGCTCACATCATTTCTTGAAAATTAACGACTTATGTGGAAATATTTATTTATTTTACCAGTACAAAAAATGTCTTTGTTTTGGCAAATAAAACCTCATGATTATCCAAACATCCATTTTTGGTACTTATACGAATGACAATATTTTGTTACTAACAGCAAAAAGAAAAAATTGCGCTGAGATTTTAACTTGTGAAACCCATGATCATCATGCCGTACTTGACACCACTGAGTTATTTGATATTAATTTACAGAACGATAATTTCCATCTTTAAGCCATTCCACTAGCCATATTCATTTTGTGAATCAAAATATATCTGCTGTGAGAATATTGAAGCGGTTTTTGTACAGAACCGGAAATACTGGAGCGTCACATGTGTTCGATTCGATAAAACATAATTATTATGAGTAATCAAGTTGCCTTGAAACTTTCTTGAAATACTATTTGTCAAACTTTCTCGAATATGTCATAGCAATATCATAAATTATTGTAACTGTCAACTACTGTTCGAATATTTTTTGAAATGCCACTTTTCCATCAAGAAAAATGTAATGTGTTGAATTCCTGCTTGGTTTGCCACAAACATAGCGTAAGACCACTCCAACAGCTCAGCAATTCGTTCCCCGATTGTTATCGCATTTCAGAGATAAACGTTGAACAGATCGAAGAGACAATTGACCCTCCCTATTTCTAATAAAAAATTATGGAATCATAAATTTCACTTCAAAACATAAATACAAAATTTTACTGATTAACTTTACTTTTTGATTCAGTGCCAGATATTCCAAAGTCCTAAATCATTTATTTGTACATATTTACTCATATATCTGAAGAACAGAGAGTTTACAAATTGGGGTTTATTGTTTTCATGCATTTTTTATAATCGATTTTTTCATTCATCAAGAGCTGTGTAAAGTATTCTCATGAAAGAGGATAGCTGACCCAGTAGGTAACTCAAAAAATAGATTACTGGAGATTTATGGGGCACTAATTCTCTGTTTCATTCTTGATATATAAATTATGAGAGCAGTTTTCACGAAAATGAATTCTGGGTCAAGTATCCTAACTTTATCCTGCTATAATCATATTACTGATATTTTTGTCTTCTTTACTGTGAACTATAAATAATATAACTGAAATAAACAAATAAATGATACCACCTACCTTCTTGCCGTCGAGTTCATGAGTGCCTTGTGCCAGAACTTTATCAACGCTAGCTGGATCGGTGAAGGTGATAAATCCGAAACCCCTACAATCAACAGAGAAGACATTATTACTATCACAGTCTTTCTGTGGCTTATTAAGATACGTCTACTTGGGAAAGTTATTTTTCAGGATAGAGGTTCACTACATCAGCTTACACTACTGGTCAGAAGTGCTTGCTTGACGGCCGTAGTCTCATCTGAACTTCAGCTAACCAATTAAGGTCTGGTGGAATTAGGGTAGTATTCATTGCATGATTCAAAGTTTACAAAACATTGGATAGTTTCATAAAATGCCCAATGGGTTTGATGATATGTCCTAATGAGTCTCTAAAAAATATTCGTGATGACTTGTTAACCTTTGATCAGCATGCAATTTCTCTTGAGTGTTGTTTCACATACCTGGGGGTGCTAATGGGAACGGCCATATCCATTGAGTAGACCACCCCATTTGAGCCTGTCGCCATGCTGAAAGAGAATTTACTCACTTCACAACTCCCTCTCGGTTTTCAAAATCGTGCATTTTCTACCTCTAAAAGCAACTATGCTAAGAATCCACTATTTTCTTGAAAACGAGATATGATTTCATGTGTATGGATATCTATTTTGTTTATAGTATTTTCAAAAAGATATATCTCATTTCCAAATATTGCATTATAATTTCGAGAAATAGGGGATGATCGATCCAAAACTTGAAGGAAGTAAGTAGGTAATGGGGATGGGATGAATTATGACGTATTGCCGAGTTGAATCAAAAAATTTATACAAAGTTAATAATATGTAATGCATCATAAGAAAAAATGTTTTAATGATTTGTGTTAAGAAGTCACGTCTCACGAAAAACGAGCGATACCAAGTCTTGATAATGCTATCTCCGATGATATATATGAATATATTAAATCTAAAGTTCCCACGGATAGGAATATGCTGAACTGATTTCCAGGAAACCAGACAAAGACAAAGACAAAATGAGAAAAAACCAAGAAAGTACTTGATAAAAATAGCTGCGTAAACGCAAGCGAAACATAAGTGGAACCACCTATTGGTGTGACACCCAAGTCAACTTGCCAAGTGGTTCCACTTATCTTTCGCTTGCGTTCACGCAGCTATTTTTATCAAGTACTTTCTTGGTTTTTTCTCATTTTGTCTTCGATCGAAGACCGCCTGCCCGGTACTGACGATGCCCAATAGGCTGAAACAGCTGTCTACCGGTGGCTCTTGAATTGAAATCAATATGGGAATGATCAAAATAGTACTTATCTATTTATCTTTTGATTTTCATGGAATTATTTTCCAGCAGCTTGACTGCATTAACCTTTCTCGATTTCATATTAATTCTAGAAACATGTGGATTCGTTTTCCAATAGCATTTCAGGTAAGCTTCCCAAATTTCTGCTAACGCAGTTGTCGGTTCATTGGTCAAACCACCAACACTGACATAAAAACTTAGCAAGTTGACTTGGGTGTCATACTAATAGATGGTTCCACTTATTTCTGCGTCCTGAGGGTGTTACCGCTTTTACTGGGAGAGCATAAGATGGAAGAGTATTCCATGTATACTATAAAACGTCTACAGAAGCGGTGTTTATCACAGTGTTTGTTTATCACAGTGTTCCTCTAATGCATCAATTGTCTAGAGTGCGTACGTAAGAAGAGTAGGAGATCCTCCCTTCCTTGGTATTTTCGACAATATATCAAGGTCGAACAGTGTTTACGTTGAAAAAATCTTTTATTTACTCATTATTGACAGAAAAAAAGTGTGGATTTGTCTTCATCGGAATTAGAAAAATAAGTATAGAAATATGATATTTCATCAATGAATATAATAATACTAAAAGAACTAAAGAACAGTTGGACCATTCTTATGATTTTTTTGTATGAATCTCAATTCAGAATATAAAATTGATTCTTTACAAAAATTATAAGAAGCACAACAAAACTTTTCTAAAAAATGTAACGGACAAAGTTCGGCATTGGTAAACTAATAGGTTTGATAAATTCAAACCTATTAGTTTTTCACTAGCACTTGATAAAAGCAACGATATAAGTAGCCCGTCTCAATTGTTGATTTCTATCCGAGAAATGAACAACTTTGTGTAACGAAAGAACTTGCTTCATCAAAAAGCCGCCATGGGAATACAAAAGGTAAAGTTATATTTTTACAACTATTAGATGTTTTCATTATGTACGATCTCAAGTGGGAAAAATTTAAAAATGTGAAAACTGATGGTGCAAAGAACATGACGGGTCATAATACTGGTTTGGTGGGCATGATCAATAAAAAATTGAGAGAATAAAATAATACACAGCCTCCACTGTAACTTCATTGTATTTATTATCCATCAACATACAACATACACTTTGCGCAAAAGTTGTGAATTGGAAAATGTTATGAACATTGTAGTAAAGTCCTTCAATTATACTTCCAAAAACGGTGTGAACCATCGAACATTCCGAAATTTCTCAAATAAAATTTATGCAGAATATGAGGATAACAGTTATTTTTTTGAAATAAGATGGCTCAGCCATGAGAAATTTGAAATTTTTTGATCGATCAGAGATTGAAATGTTTTCGACAGGAAAAGGAAATAATATACAAGAATTGTCGAATTTTAAATAGATAAGCGAGTTAGGTTTTTTCTGGACATCACAACTGACCTCAATAAATTAAATATAATAACTACGAGGAAAGCAAAGTAAATCAACGAGATATTTACGGAAATCACAAGTTTCCAGCCCAAAATAAAGTTGTTAATTCGTCAACTTGGAAAGAATAACTGCTGTCAGTTTCCTATTTTGCAATCGTTTAAAAAGAATGGTTTATTATTCCCTTTTTGAATCCCATCTTCGTTATGGTATTTGCTTTTGGGGTGTGTATTCTACCACATGTCTTCAATCAGTATTACTAATACAAAAACGTCCAATACAATGCATATGCAAAGCCAAGCCTAGGGACTCTTGTCGGCCTCTTTTTGCCTCTAACAGAATCCTAACTGTGGTCTCCTTATTCATATATGAGACAATCTGCCTTCTCTTCAAAAATAGGGTATTGTTTAACAACTTGGATGAGCCAATGTATCAAACCAGGCAAAGATCCAGCTTCAAATTACCGCTGCCTTCTTCGACCCTAGTTAAAGATTCCATCATTTACAACGGTCTCAAAATGTTCAATTACCTTCCTCAAGCTATAAGAACCACAAATGACCTTAGAGCCCTCAAGAAAGAGTTGGAAGATTTGCTTTCTGTGAGATCTTATTATAGCTTAGCAGAATTCTATGACGATAATTTTATTTGAGAAGACAAACTATAATATCTGCGGTATTTTATTTATTTGATTCAATTTAGTATAAATTGATTCATTTAATTTATTGACCATGTTCTTCTATCCTGAACGTTAGTATTAGGTTATTATTATTTACATGTCTCTTTTCAATTCATGTTATCACTTACTTTCAGTGATTTTACTTTTGTGATTTATTGTATATGTATTATGTTTTATTAAAACAACGATGAAAATAAAACAACAATAAAAATAAATTGTCGCTCCGGGGCAACTTCATTGATTCCAGTGGCGCATTTGCTTTTTCAGCTGCAGGAAAACCTGGAAAAACCTGCAGCACCACATCATCTGAAGATCTTGATCAACCAATGTCCTCTCTCTTATAAAACAAAATGTAGAGTGTCTCCAGAGGCTCCAATAGATTCAATGCATCGCCAGAACACTTCGTGACACGACTATCTTCAAACTTAAACCAGTCCGTTTCGTCTTTGACCAAGACGTAATAATGACCAAATTCAACGCCAGTAAACAATGACTGCATGAATATTTTAATAGTGTATATGTTATTTATATTTCGCACAAGGATTTGTCAATAAGAATTTATTCTTCAGACAATAAAGTATATTTGAATTGAAAAAAAACAGTGTCCTTCGAATATTTCATTTTTATTGCGTCACTAAAAGTACTGGATGAAAATTTTCGTCATCGTTTCAAGATTTTCATGTAAAATAAATGGACATATTGATATTTGAAAATCCTTCAAAATTTGATATTGATGTATAAGCACCAGAAAATTTACAACTAATGTTAATTGATTTGCTATCTAACAATGTATATGTATGAAAATTATTTTGATGAAAATAACTCATTTGCATTCTATTCAAATCTACCAGAAAATAAGTTGCCCTGTTTAAAAAATTTTGCAAAATCAATGATTCGTATTTTTTCAGGCACTTATTTATGCGAACAAACATTTTCAAGAATTATTTTAATAAAATCAAACTATTGAACGGGTTTGATGGATGAAAATTGACAAAACTTGTTGAGGATCTCAGTTTTCCAAACACAATCGGACTTAAATAAATTATCAAAAAAATATTTATGAACAAAAAGGGCATTAAATTTTAATGAATGAATAAAATAATCATCGTGTTTGCTGTTACAACGCAAAGTAGATATGAAAGATAAACAAAATTATATTTTTTCATGAAAGCATTTCTGAAGAATTGTGAAATTTTAGTTCTCTCACATTATTATTATTATAGCATGTCGATAAAAAATAAATTTGTTGTATATTCCTTTTTGAAAATATTCATACTCGTATATGTTATTAAAGCACAATATAAAAAACGTATCGTTCGTTTGCAGATTCTCAATGATTCTCTTTGAAGCTTCTAATACTCACCAATGGATGTTTCGACTTTTGTAATTGAACCATCATTGGGTAGATAATTGAAAGACCTATTCAATGTACCCATTTCCATTGAAAAAAATTACAGCGTTCTCTCGGCGACTATTATTCTCCTAAACAAAATGTTCTGGAAATTATGTCTTCTCAGTAAACTTTGTACGACATTGAAATCTTTTCTATTTCATAAATCTAAAAGGGATGAAACTTTTTACGACCGCACTGTATGACATATTTTCGGAAATCAAACTGTTGAGTGAAAATTTTTGATTCAATATATATGCTTCCGATTATCAACTTATTTCATATGATTGAAGTACTACTTGATGATCAAATTCATGAATTTGATCTTATTGTTCCTCTAATACTTCCACAGTGGTTTATGATGGGACAGGTCATAGTCCCCTCATAGTTTATGATTATAGAATCCATAATATAGGATCAAAATCTGTCAAATTGGTGAAGCTTGTCTTGCTTCAGTAATAGTCCAGTCATTATAGTAAGTTCACCTCGGAATTCGAGATACCCAGCTGTAAGTCTGTAAATACTTGTATATTGACACCCTAAAAGTTGTCTCAAAACCTACATATGGTAGGGTGTAAGCAACTATTAAATTTCAAGGTCAAAGGTCACAAAAATCGGTTTTTTGCGCTTTTTTTGGAAATAT